ACCAAACATCGACAGCCGGATAAAGGAGACGTTCAGAGCCGGGGACAATTCCGTAGCCCTTAGTAGATCGGTTGCAGAGCTGACCGGATTGTACCCAAACTACATGCATCATTACACGGACAAGATCGAGATCTGGAGTCGGAATGGGAATCGCTGGTGACATTTCCCCAACGAGTAGAAGTCAAAAAACAAACAATGTTCGGTGTTCTCGGCAGAAGCAGCGGCTATTCTTCATGCCGTCACGGTTCCTGCGGATCGCTCAATCCTGATCCTGTCGGACTCCCACAGTGTTATTCAGGCCTTTTGAGTGTGTTGATTTATTTCCTTTTAATTCCGTTATAATTGCTTATCTTTTGGCAGATACGCGTATTTTGTCTACTACTTGCGGACTTCATTAAAGCTAAGTGGTGTTGCGTACTTGGCACTGATGGCACAAATAGTTGACGAAATACGCGTATCTGCAGTGAGTCACTTTTTAGTGACTTGGTCACTTTTTTCAAGCCAGTCACTAAAAAGTCTATTTTTTAAGGTCAAGTCACTAAAGTCACTTTTTCTTGTAATCAGTCACTTTTTTCAACTTTTTTAGCTTGAATTTATTTCAATATTCATCATTCTTTGCTTTGTGACGTTTAATCTTACAGGGTGTCTACTCAATTTTCGAAATCAAATTTCTTGAGTTTTCCAGTTTTTTTTTCAGAACTTTTAACGGATAAATTCAAGGCTATTTTTAAAATGCATTCAAAATATGCTTTTTCTGGAAGATCTAAAACAACAGTAATTAACCAAAACGTTTTTAAGACATGGCAATCCGTTTTGAAGAAACAACATTACATTGGATTTGATTACATGGAATGTGGAAATTTAGCACTTACTTCATTTCTCACTTTAATAAATTAAAAAAAAACCAACTTAATTTGAATAAATCCAAGATCTAAATATATTCAAAGTTTTGTAGTTTCGTATTCCATGTGCAAGTTCAAGATATTGAAAGTTTTTTAAAGTGCCTGAATTAAGGAAAACATTAAATGATTTATTTCAAGTTCGTAATAAACTTTATGAAAGATTAGAGACCTTCATTGCAGTCCCATTAACTCCACAACAATTGTAAGGACTTTGAAGAAGTTTTGAGGAATAAAAGGAAATGCTGTGAATTTTAGTAAAGCTCCATAAACAAACAACCATAACATAATGTAAGTTAACACACTGAAATTATGAGGAGCTTACTGGAAGCTTTAAGATCCTCAAATCGGTTCTTTTAACATCCGAAAATTTTCAGGAACTTTTATGAAGCTCATAGAATTTCAGAGCACATCACAGGTTTTAAGCGACCTTGAGAAATATAGAAACCTTGAGGGGTATTGTGCAATTTGTTTAGAAGTCTTAAGCATCTCAGAAAAGCTAGATCTAGAGATCTTTGGGGGATTTCAGATCTTAAGAGCAGTTCCCATGACTTTATGGAGCAGTTTAAATATTTATAATAAAAATAAATAAATATAAATTTATTTTTGCCTTAAGGTGATAATCTAAGGAAGCCTTCGCGTGAAACTTCAAAGGCACAAATGTCAGATTCCACAAAACATACAAATTTGAAATTGCTACTCTCTGTTTGTAGTAGCACAGCAAACAAGGAGTAACAATTTCAGATTTGTATGTTTTGTGGAAGCTGAAATTTGTGCCTTTAAAGTTTCACGCTAAGGCTTCCTTAGAGTATCACATTAAGATGTTTCGAGAAATTCAGGGATGTATAGAATTTATGAAAACTTCTGAAATATTTCAGGAACTTCACAGAAGTCCAAAGAAGTTCAGGGAAATTTACCTTCAATAGAATTGAGAGCTTTAGGTAAGCTTCGAGAACATCAAGACAGATCGGAGATTCAAAGGGCAGTTCAAATTATTTCAAAAAACTTGTAGAAACCTTACGGAAGTTCCGGAAACTTCAGCAAAGCTCCGATAGAGTTTCTGGAACGTGATAAAAAATAAAATGAATATCCGGAAAACGTGAGAGTATTTTATGGGTGTTATATCATGGAGATATCAAGAACTTTAAAAAGTATGAAAATTTAGCTAAGTTGATTAGAAAATATTAACGAAGTTCCATTAATCTAAAAAAAAAATGCGATATCTTCAAGAAACTCCAGAGAACGTAGAATTTAGATAGTTTCATTCAGTTTCAGCGAAGTTCCGAGTACTTCGAGGACGATCAGAAAGCTTCAGAATAAACCCATTATCTTAAGCAAATTATAAGGTATTCTGTGGAATTATGAGGTATTCCAAGAATTCTAAGATTCATCCAAAAACGTCAGGGAACTATGAATATATATCAGAAAATTTGCCGGATTATTAAACAAATTTAGAGAACTTCAGGTAAGCATAGTTCAGGGAAAATAAGTGAGTGTTTTTAATGGTTAGAATACTTCAGGAAAGTTGTAGAAACTTCAAGGTACATCGCTTAATTTCAGTAAAATTGCAGGTTCTTAAAATATACTGATCAATTCAGTACAGAGAACTTAAAAGAAATGCAATAATCGTTAAGGTAGTTTTAATAACACCAGGAAAGTCTAGACTATTGAAGGAGTTTTAATTAGTGTCGATAATTCAATGAAAGTTTCAGGAATGTCAGACAAAATCATGAGAACTTAAGTGAAAATCATAAAACTATATTAATTATTTCGTTCTAATTCCATGAAAACTGCGAAAGTACAAAAATTCCAGAAATTTTGAAAAACTTCGAAAACTTCACAGAAGGACAGTGGTCTTCAGAAACATTTCGAGACCTGCATAGAAATCTATGGAGCTTAAGAGGAGATCCGCGAACTTCAGGAATTTTTATGAACATTAGCAAAATGCGGGAGCATTTGAAAGAAGTTTTGTAAGCTCCGAAAATTGGAGGGATTTCGGGGAGAGGTCAGTCATTAGTTTCAGAAAATTAGTTGGAAATTTAAAGCAGTTCCCATATTTTCATATAACTTCAGAGACGTTAAAAAATTAATTGAGATCTTCGCATAAGTTCAGAAGTTCACTGAAGCTTAAACATTTTAAGGACGGTACAATTAAATTCAGCGCAGTACAACAAGCTTCATGAGAACTGCAAACACGTTAGAGCCGTTGTGGGAATTTCAGAATAGAACAGAGAACCTCAGAGCAGTTCCGTTATCATAAGAGAAGTCACATAAAGTTTAAAGAATTTAGAGAACTTCAGCGAATTGATAAACATTTAGAAGAGATTCATGATCGTTAGAGAAATTAAGGAAAAAAATTTGATGAGTAGTATTATGAGCATCAGGCTAATTTCTCAAACTACAAAAGAACTTCAAAGCAGATTCATTAACTTCAGGAAAAATTTGGAAAGTTCTCAGAATAGTCCATTCCGTATTCAATGGAAATGTCGATGAAGCTTTCCTCCGAATTCAATTTTCTTTTCCACAATAAGACACACATTTGGAAAGATTATCGGAATATTCATTGAATTCATTTCAGATTTCCTTTTGAATATCACACTTTCCCTTGGAATTCTACTCACATTGAAAGTCTCCTAAGAATTCATTGGCATTTCTACTCACAAATTCCTTAGATTTCGCCTCATAATTTGTTTGACAATTGAATTGACTGAATTCCTTTGAAGATGTCCTGGAGTTATTCTCAAATTTAATTGCAACCCTCCTTTGAGTATTTTCAAAAATATTCCAAGGACTTATGCTCCGGATTCGTTTTCTCCCATTAACTTTATGAAATGATCCTCAGAATGTCCTTGAAATTTTCCACTAAAATTCACAGGGTTTGTGCTCATCAGAAATTCCTAAGAGTTTTCCATGGAATCCACTTTTAATTCAATTCAGGGTCACGTTTTAGTCACTATTTTTACATCTCTAAGTCACTATTTAGTCACTTATTTCTTCAACATGGTCACCAAAATCACTATTTTTGACAGCAGTGATGTAGCCATCAGTCCTGTATCTGTCAAAAGATAATCAATTTTAACGGAATTAAAAGGAAATAAATCAACACACTCAAAAAGCTCTTCATAAATAAGAATATCAAAATACAACATGGTTTACAAAAAATTTAATATCTCGATTACTTTTTCGAAGGGACGTATCGGCTTTTTTAAACCATGCGTGTTTGGCGTAACTGGTAGCTCGCCCACGAATACTAACACCACTATCAGATAGGGGAAAAGTATGCGTGGGCGAGCTACCAGTTTGCGCCATATCGACGGTCAACTGCATTGTTTACAAAAGCTGATACGTCCCTTCGAAAAAGTAATTGAGATTTGATATCATTTTGATATCCGATTTTGCTCGGGAACCAACCAACCTAACACATAATTGTTTTTATTTCCATAAGACTGACGAACTTAAACTTCCTTTATGGTTTCATTATACCTACGTATAAAACACATTTTTTTCTATGTTAGCTGTGTCGTCAATGTTCCACTTATTCTCTTCTTAATTAGCAGAACTCACTCATCGATCATTATTAAGATTGATGGATACGTCGTGTGAATGATAAATTGGCGGCTTAAATTGGAATTCCTATTGACGTCATTATTCGTTATCCCGTCGCAGCCCTTTTTTTGGCTGCAAATTTTACGCAGTTACGTCAATTTCAATTTCAGCTTCCATCCGTTACGGTAGCACTCAGTAATCTTACAACTCAAACAACACGTGCCATTACAAGTGACATAAATAAAACATAATTCGCACCATCGTTCACGCCACGGTTGACCATCATAATCGTTTGAGGCAGCAGTCACGTGTTGCTGTCTGATAATGGTTTCCTTCATCTTTCACTCTCGACTCAACCGAACTGGAAAGTGGAAGGCTACTCAAGTCAGTGGCGGTGGTCCATAAATTAGTTTGAACGACTCCCTATAAAAATCACTTTTTTTCGGTTGCTGTTTATGAAGCCTTCAACAGTCCAGCGGTTTCCACTGACTGGATACAGCTGAGCATTTAACCGTCAAGAGAAATTTGAATAAATTTTCCACCTGGGTGACTTACCTGATGCAATTCTCCGGGTCCCCTTCGCAGTCCGTGTTGCAGCGGAACCGTTCCCAAGAAAGCCAACCCATCGGCGGTGTCCGTGCGAGGCCATTCTCGAGGCTGGAAATTTCCGCTGGCAGGAGGAACACGGCTAGCACTATCGATACTATCACAGCTTGGAAAATGCAAATAGTCTGCAGGGGTGCGTTACTGCTTCGGGTTGGGCGGGTGGACTGTGTCCCACCCTTCGACTGCCTTTGCAATATCATTTTGTTGCGGGTGGTGGGGAGTGAGGTGCTGTGGATGATAGAAACAGAATTGGAATATTTAGTGAAAATGTCGTAAGGCTGAAGAAATATGAAATAAATAGTCGTGACATTTCCTGAAATAAATGTAATAAAATATGAAGTAATAAAAATGTAGACATTCCTACACAAACACAATAAACGTAGCATCTTATTATTCCCGTGCTTGCCTTTTAACAGTTCGCTGTCAAATTTATAACCTACACACGTTAGCGCATGCCTTGGCGCCCTCGCGATAACAACCCACGCTTCACCCTGTGTATAATAAAGAGCTCTTAGCAGCGAGCCACGATTATAATCAAGATTAGATCGCTGATAATCACTATTGTTACACTCTCCAACTAACACCGGCCTTTCTACTGTGGAAAGGCTCTTACCCGCAGCGCAGTCTCTCGAACGTGACAGACAAAACCAACCTGGTTACGTTCCGACACGGTCAGTTCGGTCTCCACTGCGTGATGTTAACAATTTCATACATTCAACTCTATTTTGACAGTTTCGCCATCGCAAACTACTGTGAATAGAAATTATGCAATCCTATGCAGGTCTTGGGTTCCCAAAAAAATTAAGCTATTCAAATTTACAAATATTCCCCGTTAGCTTGTCGCTGGCTTGTCGGCTTCCTTCTATCTCTCCATCAAAGCACAAATTGAATTAATAACAACAATGACGAATTTTGCCCCATGCTCCATTGAGCAATAAAACTCTATGACATTGCAACTTTGGAGACGGCGGAAAGTCGGGTGTCTCCCAGGCAGGGGATGATATGCAAACTATGCCCCCCCGCAGATAATAGCCCAATAAACATTGCAAGCATAGTTTGGCATAGTATGTTTCAGATTGGGCTACTGCGGCGTCGTCGTTGCCGCGTGCCACCACCGAAACCAACTGATCCGGACCCGGTGCTAATTTGAATACAATGGAAATTTTTAGAAAAGTCAGCTCCACCCGGGAGGAGGGTGTTACAAAGTTTTCCCACACAGTCACTTTGGCGTTGGTAAACATCAAACATCAAACATCCAAGGGACCGTAAATCTGCGGTTTAGGTACGCGTTTGTGTTAATTAGAAGAAAAAAAGGTGCCGTCACTTAAGTGCATCACTGGTTGCCGTTAGGGTGTGCATTTATATTGACAGCAATTAATTTGCTTTGTTTGATTTTTATGAGCTGTCGAAGAGTTTGTTTTTCTTATCGCCATGCAGTTTGGAACGATCGCTAAATGACCACATATATGTTTGTTTTTCACTTGACGTGTGGCATTGGTTGATGCTTATTGAATTGGTGGTTATCGGTGTTGGAAGTGAATTGAAATGAATGTACTAATCAGAACCAAGTTTCAATTTGAGATAAATTTTTTAAAAAATTCTACAAATGTTTGTTATTTTTGCCCATAATGCATAATTCTGTGTCTTAACAATCTCATTGAAGGTAACCAAACTTTTCCTTATTTGAAGATTGCCAACACTAGTGTGCACAGGAATCTTGTTAAGGGGGTGTAATTTTTTTTCTATGGTGCATTTAATCTGGGGATGGGGAGTACTCCAAAGTGCGTGGGAGATGGTGCTGTCCACCCACCACTGTTTCCCTACGATTTAATTTAACTAATTTTATTTCTTTTTTGCTCCGGTGGTGGTTCATCTTCTTCAATGTAAACTGTTTTCAGACAGCCAATGGAAATTGGCAATTTAATCCCATCGATGATGTCGATGATGAACCGTCCCAAAGTACCGCCAGTAATGCCGAACATTCAACATGTTTTAAAGATGATATAAAGGACAAACCCGCATTTATTGCAACGCACATAAACAGCTGTAACTTTTTAACCACGTTAACAAATGACTTGAAATTTTCAGAGAAGATTCTTAGACGCTTTTTTAGTAAGATAACAATAGACCACGGTACAATGGCAACCTAATACCCACACAAAAAAGCTGTCTTTAAGCTTTGTACAGTTGCGAAAAAATACATCCTCAGAATTCCTTGAGGTTCTTTTCGAAATTTTTAGAACTCTATGAGCTCTTTTGAAATTCTTCTCAGAAGTTCTCTGGAATTATTTTTAGAACTCTTCTTGACGATTACTCAGAACACCTTGGAACTTAAATTCCCTTAGAGTTTCAGAAGAATTTCCTCCAAAAAATTATTCCCGGAATGAGCCAGAAACTACCGGTACTCTCTTGAAATTTTCCTCAAAATCCCTTTGGAATTTCGCTCAAAATTAAATTTTAACGGTATGCTTTTCGGAATTATCTTGGAATCATCTGCAGGATTCACTAGAAATTATATGCAGAATTTTTTTGGAATGCTCCCCAGAAATCCTTTGGTACTGTCCTCAGAATTCAATATCCTTGAGGTTCTTCTCGGATTTTTTTAAAACTCTCCTAACAGCTCTTTTGAAATTCTTCTCAGAAAGTCCACTGGAATTATATTTAGAGCTCGTTATGATTTTTTATCAGAACACATTGGAACTGAATGAGCTAGAAATTATCCTCGGAATTCGCTTGAAATTTTGATTAAAATTCCTTTGGAGTTTCACTCAAAATTTGATTTTCTCGGTATTCTTTTTGAAATTATCTTGGAACTATCTGTAAGATGCACTAGAAATTATCCACAGGATTTTTTTTAATTATCCCCAGAGATATTTGGGAACTGTCATAAGAATTGAATATCCTTCAGGTTCTTCTCGGAATATTTTGGACCTTTTTTTTCGCAACACCTTGAAACTGAAATTCCCCTAAAGTTTCAGAAAAATTTCTTCTGCATTCTCCAGAAATTCTTCCCAGAATGAGCTTGAAATTATCCTAGGAATTCCCTTGAAATTGTTCACAACATCCCTTTGGAATTTCATTCAAAATTTGATTCTCTCGATATTCTTTTCGAAATTATCTTGGAACTATCTGCACGATTCACTAGTAATTATTCGCAGAATTTTCATGGAATCATCCCCAAAAATCTTTTCTTTTATAATTGTCCTCAGAATCCAATAGCCTTGAGGTTCTCCTCGGAAGTCAAGTTTAAGTTGCCCGCCCATTCACCAAAACGTTGTAGTTTTTCTACCAGAAATGTTCGATTAAGCTTGCCCTTTCCATTCACCAGAACTGTGCAATTTTGACATCAGGAATTTTCAATTCAGCTTGCCTCTCCATGTAGCAGATTGTTGCAAATTTTACACCAGAAAATTTAAATTGATCAGAACGATGCAAATTTTCCACCGTTAATGTTCAATAAAAATTGCTTCTCCAATCTTCTGATTAGTGCAGATTCCCTTTTTTTCCATTTTCCACCAGACATTTTCAATATAGCTTGCTTCTCCCATCATCAGAATGTTGCAGGTTTTCCACCAAATAAAGCTTGCACCTACTTTCATATTTTTCATCATACATTTTCAGTAAAGCAGCTTCCCTCCAATAATCAGAATGGTGCAATTTTTACACCAGAAATTATTATTAAAGTTTGTTTCTCTATTCAGCAGAAGCAGTGTTGGAAAAGTTCGCGATATTTCACGAAGTTCACCAAGGGAAAAGTTCACGAGTCATAGTGAGTTTACGCGAACTTTTCCATCACTGAGCAGAAGGATGCAAATTTAAGACCAAAAAGCTTGCCCATCCGTTCCCTAGAACGGTGCAGATTTTCCACCAGAAATTTTCCATATAGCTTAACTTTAGATAAAGCTTGTGCCTTCATTTGCCAGACCAGTGCAAGTTTTCCACCAGAAATTTTCCGTTCATTTCATTTATCAGAGCGATGCCAATTTTTCACCAGAAATTTTCAATAAAGCATGCTCCTTCATTCACCAGAACGGTGTGTGTGTACAAGCTAACCCCCACTGTCCGCCAGTGTTATTATGGAAGAAAACTGATTTTTACTATCCTTAAGTTAAAGCAGGTTTTGTCCGGGAGTTATTAGGTGTTAGCTCTATTGTGACCCATTTCAGAATGCCTGGTAATTCACGACCACTCCGAGGTCACTTTTACTTACAAAAGCCCCGCATGTTCACTTGTTCATCAAATGGATAATGGTATCATAAACACACTTCCAGATTCAAAAAATAAAGGGTGTCCACGATGAAATTGCCACACTATGAAATTGCTCTAACTTTTTAACCGTTGGGTAGAATTTAATGAAAATTTGGGTGGATTTAGTTCATAGTGCATTATTTACATCCTGCAAGTTTTAAAGTCCTGTGATCAAAACTCGCGGAAATGGAGTCGAAAGAACAGCTCGTGCGTGATAAAATCTTGCGCATTCATCACGAGAACAAGGATCTCTCGCTTCGTTCCATCGCTAAAACGTTAGGAATCGCGAATTCCACGATGTCGCGAGTGATTAAGCGGTTCGAGGAACGGTTAACCACCGATCGGAAGCCCAGAAGTGAAGGAAAAAGTATTCCGTACAACACCAAAAATCACAACCGCGTAGTTGGGGCCTTCAACCGAAATCCGAACGCCTCCGTTAGGGATGTGGCTAAGAAGCTGCACCTAAGCCGAAGTTTTGTCCAGAAGGCCAAAACTAAGACTGGGCTTCGAACGTTCAAGGTACAAAAGGCCCCTAATCGCGACGAGAAGCAGAACAAGTCCGCCAAAACCCGTGCCAGGAAGTTGTACCTCAACATGCTGACGAAAGTTGAATGCTGCATCATGGACGACGAAACATATGTGAAGGCCGACTTCAAACAGATCCCCGGCAACCTGTTTTTCACGGCCAAGGATAAGTTCAGCGTTCCGGAGCATGTCCGCACTCAGAAGATGTCCAAATTTGCGAAGAAATTCCTGGTTTGGCAAGCCATCTGCACGTGCAGGAAGCCGAGTGAACCTTTCGTGACCCAGGACACGATGAACGGACAGGTGTACATTAAAGAGTGCCTCCAGAAGCGGCTGCTTCCTCTCCTGAAGGCCCACAACGTCCCAACAATCTTCTGGCCGGATTTGGCCTCATGCCACTACTCCAAGGACGTGCTGAAGTGGTATGCGGACAATAAGGTCAATTTCGTGCCGAA